TCTATCTCTCTCTCTCTCTCTCTCTCTCTCTCTCTCTCTATCTATCTATCTATCTATCTATCTATCTATCTTTATTCTCTCTGTCCTTCTCTCTTCCCTATCTTTCCCCCTTTCTACCTCTTTCCCTACTTGTAAACAGCTGTTTTTACTTCATTCATTTTACCCTGGGGTTAAAAGCTTACTACACAACAAATGTGTAGATTTCATAACAAATTTATGCAATGTGAATTATATTAATTCACAAAAACGTACATGTAATCCCATACATTTCACTTATTGGCATGGTTTTATTTTAAAAGGGGGGGGGTGGTTCTGTCAGAAATATGGTCAACCCCTTATCGCTTAGAGCTCTATAGGCTTGTTAATGTGACTTGGCATTTCAGACTTTCGTCTCGCTAATATTAATGAGATTGTGGCGTGGCGTTTTCAGGGACAAATTAGACACATGGCATGTGGCATCATGACATGATATAAAAGGTACACCAACCTTCTGTTGCGGGGTCGGAAAAAAGCGTACCTAAGCATATAGGGCTTTCAGGACCAAGGTTCTTACAACATTAATGTGAACAGAGTTATGAAACATTTAATTATAACCTCAAAGTAACAGCACGAAAGTGCTTGGTCGGGGTTGAAGTGTGGTAGAATTGGACTGTCAAAAAAAAAGAAAATATTATAGTTTTAAGGAAGGTATTGTTTTGACTGCCTCCTGGAGCACAACAATATAACATATTCTTTAAATTATATGGTTGCACTGCACAGAGGCGACCAGCAATTCTGTACATTATTATATAAAACTGTTTGTGTCGGAGTGAGATTGAATAACATCATGTGACGTAAGGGCAATACTGGACTTATTCAGTGCTGACAATGCTAATGTCATTGTAGCCAAAAACGTGGCCATCTATCAAAGTTACAAAGTACTCCAAAAATCAAGCAGTAAAATTGATAATGAAACAAAAGAAATCAGCACATATAACACCAATTCTGAAAGAATTACACTGGCTGTCAAAAAAGAAAGGATCAAATACAAAACTGCCGTTTTCTGTTTTAAATTTATAAATGATACAGCACCTTTTTATCTTAAAATATTCCTGGAATTATATCATCCACCTAGACCCCTTAGATCAGCCTCTGATAATCTAATTCTTAAAACTCCAAAACAAATTAACAAAACATACGGCGAGCGTTTCTTTTTGTTCTTTGGTCCCCAGGTATGGAACAAACTCCCATATAAAATAAGATCTGCCCCAACAATTTACTTTTTAAAAAAACAGCTGAAGCATTTTTTATTCACAAATGCATACCTGTCATAATGATGAACTGTTATGATAATAAGCATGTGTGTGCCAGACTGTGACACTGAAGAAATAGTGTGTGAGAATGAGAGAACGAGAGAGAGAGGCATAGAGAGAGAGTGAGAGAGAGAGAGTGAGTGGGAGAAGGGAGAGAGAGAGAGAGAGAGAGAGAGAGAGAGAGAGAGAGAGAGAGAGAGAGAGAGAGAGAGAGAGAGAGAGAACGGAAATATTTTAAGGAATGTTTCTAGTTTCTCACGTTTCAATTTCGTTGTGACCGTTCGTGAATTTTTATTGCATTATATATATTTTAGTGGACGCATTTCCAACCTCACTGCGAGACTGTTTTTCGAATAGAATTTTCTTCACATATACATAGCAGGTATATATAATAATATAGTATAATATTGTGTTTTACTATACAGCTCAACTTTCACTTGAACAGAATAAAACCAGAACTTCCCCCAATGTGTCCTTTGTGTGACTCTGCATATGAGACAGTGGAACATCACCTTTTCCACTGTACAGCCCTAAATGACATCAGAGCTACCCTTCTCCCTCCGAGACCTAACTTCGACAACACACTCTACGGAACATTACAGCAACTGCAGCAGACCTGCACTTATCACTACATGGCATTGGACAGAAGGGCGAGAGCCCAGATGTTGCTGGATCGATAACAACAACAACAACAACAACATTGTGTTTTACGTACACGCATGTCGATTAATTTTTAAGATGTGATGTCTTTTTCAATGTAATGCGCATTGAGTTTTTTGTGTGGGTTTTTTTTTGGAAAAGGGAAATGCGCAGTATAAATGCTATTTATTATTATTATTATTATTATTATTATTATTATTATTATTATTATTATTATAAATAGCACATGTTTCTCTTGGAGTGCTAGATATCGCAGATGTAAGCGTTCCAGGGCCTCTTTGAAGAGTTTTTTGTATGTAATACATAGGCAGGTTTTTTTAAGCTCTTATGTATACGTATAGTTATTTGAATGGGACCGTAGAGGTATCCGGATGTTTGAACAAGCTCTGACGTAAACAATTCTTTTGAGTTTAGACCCTTAGCAGTACTAGCTTTTATGCATAAGTGTGTGTGTGTGTGTGTGTGTGTGTTTGTGTGTGTGTGTGTGTGTGTGTGTGTGTGTGTGTGTGTGTGTGTGTGCGTGTGTGTTTGGGGTGTAAGGGGGGAGGGGAGCAGAGGGACCGTATCACAAGTATGGCCCTTCTATCCAATTGTTTTCTCATCCGAGAACAGGATATGCAGGAGATATAATGATTCAAGGTCAATCTCTTGTTGATTTGCTTCTCTGTACGTTTCGTGATGCGTTTCGTTGTTGCCGTTGTTGTTGTTGTTGTTGTTGTTGTTGTTGTTGTTGTTGTTGTTGCATTTTGTTATTGTTGTTCTTGTAGTTCTTGTTGTTCTCGTTGTTCTTGCCATTGTTCTAGTTCTTGTTCCTGTTTTTGGTGATGAGTTTTTGTACGATTTTCTAAAAATCTGTGCTATTTTGCTTTGCAAAGTATAGTTTAAAAAAACAATACCATTGCGTCGTATATTTCCCATATGTGACGCCACAGATGCTTGGCAAGCATGTCTAGCAGAAGTAGATGCTTCGGTTTATTTCGGGTCATAGATAATGAAAAATAGTATAATGTTATATTCAAGGTATGTATTTACTTACATTGATACCCACGAAAGCACGGGCATTGTGGGGTGAAAGTTATAAGGCTTATGTTATTTGGGTGAAGATTGAAGAGACGTGCGAGTCGAGATTCTTCCTATCTCTTGCATTCTCTTCCATTTGTAATGCTTGGACATAATTTCCGTATCCTTTTCATTGCATTACTGTTTTGCTAAGAAAAGCATTTTAGAACTTCGGCATTTCTTTAAAATAACCAATGACTCGTCAAAGATGCCCCCCTCCTTTTTCCACCCACGACACACGCGTACAAACCTTACATATTATGTAAGTAAAACTTCTTTTACATTCTTATCCTTACTGCATTTAGTTCAATATTCAATACGGACGATACTGTCCATGTTAGTAAGGCACTTGAGAGAAATGTTGTCGAAGGATAAAAGGTTTTCTAGGATACCTTGTTCCCTCACAAATTGACTATCGCATAGTGTACTATATTTTTCAAAACCATAATCAGTAGGGTCAGAGAATTCCCCGACCACCCAAAAACGAATGATAAAACGCTTTGTAAGTACTACAACATCTCATGTTCTCTTTTCTTGTTTTTATTTCTATGCCCAAACAGGACTCCCAGGACCCATTTTCTTCCAATCTCCCTATCAAATTCCCAGTGCCTTCCTCCTTCTACCCTATCAAACACTTTGTATCTCAGACACTCACAAGCTCCCGGCAAGTTTAAAACAAACAAAAAACCATAATAATTCTCAACATTAACCAAACAACAGCCTTATGGTTTTTGTCTTGTGTTTCACTCACGCTGAGGAACCCAGCCAGCAGGTCTCCGCGAACTTGTTGACCACTGGCACTGCCTGGACTCCCAGAAGGACAATCGACGGCACAATCGTGATAGGACCAACGTACCTGCCGAACGGAAAAATACGTGTAGTATGTTAGTAGGTGCCCAGACTTGATCAACTGGTCGTTCGTGAGTGATCGGTTCGGAGAATGGGGGGGGGGGGGGAGGAGATAGTGACATTAATGGAAGTCGACAGGAAATGACAGAGCCTGTGATACATAGGACCCCCCCCCCCCCCGTCTTCTTTTTCTAAAAAAGCAAATATGACTGAATAGACCCACTGCTCGTCAATTGATGGCGGAATACAAATAAGCTTCGGTCATCAGATGTGCATGTACCTTACATACATAGCGTATTTTGCCTATTTTCTTTTTTTCCTTCTCTAATCTTTTCATTCGTTCAAAATGACGCGTCAAAATTATATGTTTGTATTTCGCCGTCATAAAAACAGCTAAAGGGGATACAATTCCGCTGAAAGACGTTGACAATGGACACAATTCAGTCAGCGAGAGAAATCTACACTAATGCCCTTTGAATGTGACCAAAAAGCTTCATTTTTGCAACCGACACTTGTTAAAAGAGTGTTTAAGGCATGCAAACTGAACAACAATCTCCAAAACCCGTAAGCAATAGTTGTACCTCACGAGGACACCAACCAGTCCCGTAAAACCAATGAGGAAGTGCAGGAAGCCAACAAGCACAAGACTGCCGGACAGCTGAGAAAAAAATATTATACGTAATGTATTATTTTACTGTACTTTTCCTTTTAACTCATTTTCCATGGTGCATACTATAACCTGCAGATGTATATTCCACAACAGGCTTACCTAACAACTGATTCTTTTCAGCCGAAAGAGGATCCCAGCAAAGACAAGAAAACGTACACGCAAAACTGGTGTTCTTGTTAACTCTATTATTTTATAGGCAAATATATCAAGCTGATGTTTAAAGTAAAGGTCATTTCTCTAATTTGTGTTGTTCTTGCTGTTGTTGTTATGAGACTCATCTTTCACCCTTGTTTGAAATGTGTAATAAGCCAGAAGTATAAAGTATTCACACGTATTTTACATATGTCCGGCATAAAATACGCAGGAAAAAATGGGCAACTGACAAACATTGTTCTTTTGAATACGTACCATTGTGTAGGACCTTAGAACAAAACCATTACAAGAAAATAAAAAATATATGGGATGAAAAGAGAATTAACTTATAAACATCCTGAGATGAAAGACTGCAAATTAATGAAAGGACCTTTAAGTTGTGAACTGTGTTTAAGATCGCATGTAAACCTTCAAAAATGAAGCCTTGCTGACTGAAATGTACTCTGATAATATAAAGTATTTCGCCTAAAGCTGAATGTGGCAAGGTGTGGATCTTTTCGGAACATGAGAAAAAAAATGCTTATAAGCTTCTTTCGTGATCTGAACATAATATATTAAGATGAAAATGTGTTCCATATTTTGTGTGCCATTTTCGGTAGCATTCCTCCCAGTTCCCATTTCTGGAGCCTTTCTCTTCTTTTTTTCTTGGGGGGGGGGGGGGGGACAGAATTAACTTGCCTTTTAAATACAGCAGAAAATCGTATGCGGTTTCTCACATTAGAAATGCTGAAACCAAGAAAGCAGCCCGCAAACGGCTAGCATCAGCAAGCAGATATGAAGCTTTTAAATGCTCAAGATGTAGTAGAGTCTTATCTGCCAAAACTGGTCTTACTGGCCGAAGCAGAATCCACGGTCCATCTTCATCCTTATTTGCTCTATTCTTTTTTTTTGCGGATACATTCGGATACATTGGCCATCGTCAGACATTGACAGTCGAATTATTGTTTCAATTTCGTTACAATGATACCGGTACATCTTTTTACTATAATGAGGATGATCCTATTTTAGATCTCCAACAGAGCTTGAAGCAGAGCAGCATTTTGATGCTACAAAACTGAGATCAATAATTGTTATGAAAAGCTGTGTAATTAGCTTTTTTTTTTACCACACGTGTATATGTGTGTAAGTGTGAGTGTGTGCGAGTATGTGTGGTGTGTATGTGTGTGTGTGTGTGTGTGTGTGTGTGTGTTTGCGTGTATGTGTGGTGTGTGTGTGTGTATGTGTGTGTGTGTGTGTGTAAGTGTAAGTGTGTGTGTGTGTGTGTGTGTGTGTGAATGGGTGGGTGTTTGTGTGTGCGTGTGCGTGTGAGTGTGTGTGTGTGTGTGATGCAATGGGAGAGATGTAATTCAGTGGACAACAGAGCATGATTTTGGGACCTTTTTACAGGCTCTGGTGATCACTGAATGGCCTGAAGGTCAAGGACAGACTGAGATAGTGGTGACTTGGAAGAGACTCGAATTATGCGACCTAGTTTTATCTCAAATTTAATTGAGCATCTTTGATAAACTAAACAATAATGAGACTGCCACAAACATTATTAAATGATGTACAAATGGTAACATAGGATAGGGTTCAAAGCGATAACAGTCATCAGCTAGAAGAGGCACCCATGTGACATTTTAGAAAACCTATCTTTAATGTTATTGAATTGGTGACGATTTAACTGCTAATTTTGGTCACCTTATGCCTTGGAGAGGGAGCGAGGGATGTGTCCTGCCCCTAAGAACAGCCAAAGAGGACCATCATCATCATCATCATCATCATCATCATCATCATCATCATCATCATCATCATCATCATCATCATCATCACCACCACCACCACCACCACAAAAATCCCTGACATATATAGCCATATTTCTACGAGAGCAACAATTACAGCAACAGCAACGAGTTGCAAGTGCCAATCTTAGGTCGTACACATTACTAGCATCTGACAACTATAAAAATAGGACAAGGGACGAAAAAATGTCTTCTTCAAAGTAACTTTACACTTGTTTTCGTGAGAATTTGTCCTTCTTCCAATACCTACCCATGATCATTACAACACGATTTAGAGAAGTTCAACCGGTATGCTTTAAAGAAAAAAAGACGACGCTGTGTTAACTGTCCACTCGCTTTGTCCCATGCGGTGTACAATACGAATGACACTTGATCAAAGCCATAAGGGAGAGATTTTGAACCACGGTTGTTTCAGAGTTTTTAAAAGTCGGTGTTTTAGGGTGATGGGCCTTAACCGCAGGTCCTGCTTCTTTATTCATCAAACCTACTTGAAAGGGAATATAACCAATAAAACCCATGCCTTAGACCCCATTAAACGTCTACCTTCGATATGACAGAGTTAACAAGGTGGAGAACCTTGAAAAATCCACATTTACTAGCAAGTTCAAGAACTTTCCTTCTGGGATTCGAAACCAGATCATCCACACCATAGCCCAGCATGACACCAAAAAGAAAAGAGTGTGCCCGAGCCATACCATACCATACCGTAACAAAAAGAAAGAAAAATATTTTGAATCTTACTTCTTGTATTTTAGAGTAGACCACGTCCTTCACTGGGATAACAGTCCCGTTTCCGATGATAGCGTAGTTGATAGTCTTATTCGAGCTCGGATCAAGCCCTAGAAAAGCATGATATACAAGATGAAGTTCTACCATTCGCGAACATACCACAAAGAATATATGTAACACTCTTTCATTCAAAATCCGGTCTTATCAGTTGTTCAGTTGTTGAATATGGCTTTACCCTTTTCACTTGGTCAAAAGCGCAGCTAGATAAGTTGGAAGTCGTTCAGAATAAAGGTATGAGGGTCATATTTGGGTGCACTCGCAACCCTTCAGCTGCTGCCATGAGATACTTACTAGGCTTCCCAATAATAAAAGAGCGCCACCAACGATTAGGTTATGGTCTTTTAAGAGTGCTCAGATCCCCAAACCCCTGAGCACGACAAGACGGGCAAACAGACCAAATCACGATCGAAACATGAAGCAGATTGGATGTTGCAGACTACACAGATCATCGGTGAATGTTGTTCTGTGGGGGCGATCAGAAGAGGAAGTACATGTAACTTTGTCAGGGTTGTTGGTGAGGCTAAGATACACACAAAGGCCATTGCCACCTGAGACGTGGATGCCATGTGCGGCCAAAAGAAGCAACGCATGCAGAAAATTGAAGCTCTCATTGAGGACAACTGTAGACCGGATAAACCCATAGTCTTTACAGATGGCTCTGTTCAGTACAGTGTCAAGTCAGGTTGGGCTTTCACCGCTCGAGTTCATGGGAATTGCATACAAGAGGGATCTGGTGCAACAACCTACAGTACTTCTAGTATGTTCTTGAAAATCAAAACTATCACAGAGGCCCAAAGGTGGATAAACAGTTGAACATTTCAGTCTGTCACAGTTCTGACTGACTCACTGAGCACTCTTGAAAAAATGAAGTGCAGGTTCCTCTGTCTGGCTCAGTGAACTCAGGGGGGGCGGTCAATCTGGAGGGGGGGGGGCACCTGGATCTTATGTTCTGGCAGGTGTGAGAGGGAATGAACGAGCAGATCAGCTCAGGAACAAAAAGATCGCTCACACCTGGTCCTTCTACTGTGCTGCATTCGCACATTGCCATCTGGCGAGCAAGAGGGAAGACAGCTCCTATACATTGGGGACACTGAAAAAGAAAGGAATATAGCCAGGACAGAAAGAGGTTAGCAGCCTCCGCAATAAGTAATCAGCTACTGATGATGAGCATCGGTAGGATACTTTAAGATGGACCGCGCTGAGGAGGGGCTAAGAATAATGGACAGAACCCGCCTCTGAAGACTCCAGTTGTGGAATCAAGTAGTCAATTAATTAATCAAGATTTGCTATTAGCGCTGTGCTGTGGAAACAATTGGATCAATTCGTAGACAAGTGAAATTATTTGTAAAATTAGATCGATATCAACTAATAATTGCGAACATATATGAGTTGAAATATTTTTATAAGGCTATATTTGTTGTATTTTTATTATTATAGTTATCATTATTGCTATTATTATTATTACTATTGTTGTAGAATCGTTAATGTTACAATTGTATAATATTATCATATCATCTTGATGATGATGATGATGATGATGATGATGATGATGATGATGATGATGATGATGACAAATAAAGTCAAATCAAAACTTTTTTGCTGTCAAAATGTGAATAATATATTGATGTTTCATATCCAAAGTTATTAACAAAATATAGTTGGGGTGGGGGGGGATCAAAATGACGGCCTTTTGTGTAATTATTATCTTTATTTATCTTTTATCGTATTTATTTACTGATCTTGTTACTAATTAAAAATACCAGCAAAAGTCTCTGGACATTTCCAAGCATCCAGATATTGAAGGCTCAGCAAAGGGATGATATATGCGGACGTGGGCCCTTGAAAGACTGGCAATCTGGAAGGGGTAATTGGCAGCAAATCATGTAAATGTTTCAGGGCTCAATCAAGATCATTGGTGCATTTAAGGAGTTTGGATGATGCTGCGACCTGCCTGTTAGGCCAACCCATTGTAAGAGCAGTATAACTAAGCTAATGCACGAGGGCACAAAATAACCAACGCAAGAGTTACCCGTGTCGTTTCCATGCAGGTCGAAAGACTAATCATAACAAAACAATTCAAAGGAAATTTTCAAGTTTATCCACATACGTACTTCGTGGATAAATCTTTTCAAAACAACGCGAAAATCAGTGCACATAATAAAGAGCCTTTTGACGCAATGTTGAACTAACAAGAATTGATCCAAAATATACTATAAGGCAATATTTTTACTTTTATTTTTCTAGAAAAATGCTGAAACCTATTTTTAAGAAAAATTGTCCTCAAAAGAAAAGAGTTTTTCAGATATCTATTTTAAATTTGTGTTGCTTTTTCAAACGTGGGTATCCTTAAATTTCGAAAGAAAACGTTGTATAACCACAATTTTAATAGTAAGTTATTGCCTGTTCCGTTTGTGCTATTTGTTTTTGTTAAAGAATTTCTTAATGCTTTACATGAGAACCAAAGCCCACAACAGTTAAATAAACATACTTCGTTATTATCCATCCCCCCAAAAAACCCTTGTTTAAAAATGGTAGAGTCCTTTTTTCGGTTGTCCTTATTGGGTAACATTTTAAAGGAATAAAATAAGATATAAAGGTGACGAAAACACGTTAGTCAAATTAGCCCATAAGAAGAGATAAACACTATTGCATGGTGTCCCGAAATAGGTCTAATAATGTTTTGAAAAAAAACAAAAACAAGACTCTCTTGAATAACAGCGAAGCAAATTAAGCAGTGGTTCACATAAACATGGCTCACGGCTGTTTAGCACCACACTTTCGACGATATTATGAGAAAGTTGTCACATCATTAAATGCAACATCACAACCATAACAAACGATTTTACATGGTATCACACACACACACACACACACACACACACACACACACACACACACACACACACAT